GTGTGTGTGTGTGTGTGTGTGTGTGAGTGAAATCCATCGTTCCATTTGGAAATAAAACCAGCTGTGAGCGATTTCTATTAAGCAATCCAGACTAACATTGGTACCTGCATAATATTTATCTTAATGCCACTTCTTACATCTACTTTTTATTCTAACATTATTATACTTTTTAAATGTTGGTATTGAAATTGTGTGGCTGAAAAAATTTCCCCCACAGGAATCCACAAAGTTTTCTTTGATAATTTTAGTAAACCAGCATTTTGGTCTGTGCTCACACTGTGGAAACAGATACATGTGTGAGGTTAATATAAAGATTATAAGAACTCTGCTCATCTCCTCAGCCTCGTTCAACTTTCTGACCTCACCATATGTATAAATATGTTCAGTACTAATGAGTTCTCCCCATGCACACACCACTACTCCCCATCTATACTTCTTCACACAGACTTTCAGTCAGCTCGCACACAGTCAGTCATGCATTAAACCTTGGAGAATTCAGCTGGAGGCACAGCCCTTACAGCTACAACCTTGCACAGACACACACAGACTGTGATCTCTACGAGACGTGACAAAGGAGCCTCGTCCAGGTAAAGGCTACAGGGGCGGAAGAAGTCCTTTCTCCCTTTGTGATGGAGAGCAGAGATCAGAGGCAGCTAGGTTAAGAAAACACAATCTTGTGCTGTCGGATGATGGAAAGTGCAGTGGTGTCTCAACACTGACTCCCCTGTTGTCTTTCTATCACAACTGATTGATCCAAAAGAAAACTAAATAAGACCAGACTTTATGTGTCATTTTAGGATGTCACAATAAGCGATACTTCCTTCTTTTCCCTCATGCTACTGTTCTCTTTCATAATGTTAGTGCTCTTTTCTTTTTATTTATTACTTGAGGGCCACTGTTGTTTTGTGTATGTCCATTTATTTTTTATAAAGGGGTGTGTTGAAGTAAACAGGATTTATTGTTTTGGCTTTGCCGTGGTATCGAATTGGATATCTAGAATTGTGGAAATGTCAAGGTATTGAATACTACATTTGTGGCATTGTGTCAAACCTTGTCTCCTTCATTTCCAATTCTTTCACTCTCCCTGCCTCTTCTGATCAGCTGACTGTTTATGTGTAATGTCCTATCAGATTTAGCCATGATCTCAATAATCAATCAAATAAGTCAATGACATCACAAAGGGTCTAAGCACCAAATGGACTCTCATTCATCTTATTATGCATGGCAATACATTTTGTTCAATCGTCAAAGGAAGTCTCTGCTGATTGAAATAACTTTGTACCTGTTGAGTTGTTTCTGCAGCAGGTCCAGTCGTGTGTCCAACTGGTTGCGTTGCTGGCGGCTCAGGCTGTGTATCGGCGTGTTGAGCGGCGGCGGGGAGGCCAGGCTACAGCTGGGAACCTCTTGGTATTGACCGCCTCCCCGACTCTCCCCCCAGAAACTGAAGATGTTAGACACGCCTGAGAAAGCACCTGTGAGAGAGGAGGACAGATTGAGAGTGTGCTTGTATGAAAAGGAAATTACTGTACAATTCACACAGATAAGGAGAAACCATTTGAATCTGTTTTACCTGACAGGGCATTGCAGGTGTTCCCAGTCTTGGGGTCTCCATCGGCCTCAGAGTTCTCTTTAAAGTTCATGGGCGTGGCCTGAGCCTGTGGGTTACCCAGAACTTCAGGAGGAGGGGCGAGGCCCGTCACAACAGACTCCTCCCCCTGTAACACAATGTGATCCTTGGTATCAAAATCACTTCTTAGTGTTTAAGGTTTAATTTGCATCTGGGTCAGTAAAGGAATAGGGGGCAAGAATGACAACTAGGAAAATACAAAGATGCTTTCAGGTTAAAAAGAGTTGTACCTCATCGCCACTGGAGTGAGACGACACTGAGCTCCGATGTGCCTCCCACTTCCTCTTAGGCGCCTCCTCCTGTTTATGGTTAGCTGCCTCCCTATGTCTTCGTCTCACAGACTTATGGGACTTTTTAATTTCTCCGGCATCTGCATCATCTAGACAGATGTGTCCAAGAGAAGACAATAAAAGAGAGGGATTGGTCAGTCCAGCTGGATGATGACTAATACGGGAGGATTGCCAGGAAAAACATTGGCATGGACAAAGTTAATCATCAACTGAAATTTACTGAAGATCAATTTCATTCCAAGAGTCGGATAATTTATCAATATGACAATTTTAAAAATACGCTCAGCAAAGTATGAGCTATGGAGCGTTGGCTACCTTTTTCTGTACGTCGTCGGAATGATAATTTGCGTCTCCGTAATTTGTTGAATCCCCCGCAGTTTGAGTCACCACTGCTTGGAGAGCCTGGGATCATGTTGGTCTGAAAGGAGAAATTACCAACATTAAATGGTCGTTAAAAGAAACAATGGAGGGATGCAGATTAAGGGACATGACATGCATTTAGAACAAGGATAAGTGAGACCATTAACGACAGAGCTTTAACTATTCAACATCCGTCCAAATGGTAAGAATAGCTCATAATGTTTCCGGTCCTCTGTCTCAATCTGCATCACTCCTCTACAGCCTCCCAATTGCATCCAGCTTGAATTTGTTAACTCACATCCCGGAGGTTGAAGGTGATTTCCAGGTTGTTCCAGAAGTTGTCTCCAAACTCAGGATACATGTCCAGCACCTCCAGAACGTCTTCTCTGAAGATTTTATGGAGGTCACAGTAGGTTAGAGCCCTCACATCAGCGTTGGATTTACCCGGCCGGGAATACAGGTTGATGGGCTCGCCAAAGATGTCATTTTTCCCTGGAGAAAGAGAAAAGGAAGAAAAGCTAAATGTGTCAGCTGACAATTGATGTCAGAGCAGAATCTAAGCTCAGGGACTGCCTGCAGATCTCAAAGACAGGCTATAGCCAGATTACAGTTCTGTATGGGACTGGTAAGGGATGTGTGGTTGAGCTCCAAAGACCATCTGCAGAGAAGGGAGAAACTTCTGGAAGAAAGCAGTGGGTACACTCTCTAATGACATGCACTTTCTGGCAATTCAGTCAATTCATATAAAATATCACATGCAGGTGCAGCAGGTCTGAAGAAACATTTCACTATTTGGAGTAACACCATGTACTCACCAGCAGATGGCGATACCAGCAAATGCAATTATTAGAAAGGCAACGCAACTGGTGCCTCAATAGTTTGTGCTCCTATAAAGTAATTAACGCTGGATGTTATGAAGTTGCTCAAAAATTAAAGCTCCTGTCTTCCTAAGAAGTCCATAGGGCTCAACTCACCACCTGCGATTAAGTAAATCTACAGACTGAACTGAAATAGTGAAAATTAAATTATGATCCTCTAATTAAAATTCCAAACTGAAATACTTTCAAGAGAGAAATATTTCCAGATGTTATTTTACTTCAGGCTAATTCATTTTCTAAAAACCTCGGGGGAAACGGGGTTAGATGGTTAATGTAGCCAATAAAACACGGAGAAGAACTGAAAGCTGTAAACGCTTTTTAATTACCCAAGATGGCTACCACCACATCTCCTCTCAGTATCTCTATGGATCCCCTGGATATAAAGTAGAGGGCAGTGAGCACGTCCCCGGCGTGGACCAGCGTGTCACCCGGAGGCGCGTGGGTGGTCTTGAACTTCATGGCCAGCGCCCTGAGGCAGCCCTTGGTGGAGCCTTTAAAAGCCTTACAGTTCTGCAGCAAGGTCCGGTTCAGATGGAGGCAGATATCTGCCTGGAGACACTCAGGGAAACCTTTCAGCACCTGGGGGGGAGGGAGCCAAGGGATGAGGGAGCGGAGAGAAGGACAGGACACGGACAAGGAAGGAAAGAGGGAAGGGGAAGAAGCGGCCGATAGAAGAGGACAGGATGTGAGAAAAAGTGGAGGATAGAGTGGATGGGAAAAGGAGAGAGGAGGAAATGAGCGATGGAGAGGGGGATGGAAAAAGAAAGCGTATCAATTGATAGAGAAAGATTGCATCAGTATTGATACATGCAATTAACAGAGACGGAGTGACGCGTTAAGTCCAGAACATAAAGCCAATGTCAAATAAATATCACAGATGGCGGATGGTCTAACAAGTGAAGCCTTTCCTGTCTTTTTTGTCTTCATTACTTTTGGTGAACACTTTCGGGACATTAGCCTTTCAATGTTATTACACCATTTCATAAATTAACATGACACAACTTAATAGCCTTTACATTTATCAGACGATGGTGGTTGTAATCATCAAAAAGTTGTGATTCCAATGACATTTTTAGAAGAGGAGCATCAGGGGCCTGGGATCCTCACTCTCAAAAGGTATTGATTTGTTCGAGCTTCACAGGAAAATGATTTCAAACCGAATATTTCAGAGGGGTGTTACAGTGAGGAGGCCCGTTGAGTGTAATTAACACGAAGAGCCGGTGCAGTTTTAATGAGTTCACTGCAGCCATTGGAAAGTCCCAGCTCTTTAAAGCGGCAGCCTTCTCTTGTAACTCTCTGGCTGACTGCACACAACACTACCTACAACACCACACTGTGCTCCTCGCTTCAAGCTGCTCTCTTCATTTCAGTCTTCAGTAGGTCGCCTTCTCTTAGCTCTAACGGCAACGGTCCATTTCTCTCTTGCTCCTTTTGTCTCTGTCCTCTTTCCACTCTGTCTTTTTTCAAGCCTCATTGCTCCTTCTTGCCACATCTTTACTTTTTGTTTATTCCCGATAGTCATATCTCTAGCTTTTCTTTCACCGTTACCTCCCTGCATCTCTCCTAAAATTTAACAAACCACATCAAATGATTCACAGTCGGCTTTGAGGACAGTCTAACACAAGAACACTTCAAATACACTGGGAAAATTATAAAAAGAAATTCTCTAGAACCTCCAAACAGAGTATTTTTGTGTGAATTTGAATAATAACCCACTATTACTCCCTGTACACATTATAGCCATTTTGTTGAATTGTGTGGTGCAAGTCCAAAATGTGCTGAAGACTGTATGATGACTGTATCAGGTGTTCTATAAACACCTTCCAGTTTAATGGAGCATTTTGCTGATCCTTAACTGCTGACTTACAAGGATGCACTGTTATGTTTTAAATTAATGTTTGCTGTGATGATATATTAGTGTGGACTCTTCTATAGTTTATTTTAGTGGGTAAACATTTTGCTTAGTGTGGAACAGAAATATTTTTATCGGCTTTTAACAATTTGTAGAAGTGAAGGGTTTTAATAATAACCGAGAGTACCAAAGAACATGATCATATTTTTAAGCCAAGCTAGAGGCTTCCATCGAGACTGGGGGGACTGAGATTAACTTTTTTACAGACTTTCAACCAATTTGATCGTCCCCTGACATTTCTGTAAAGCTGTTTTCAGACATGGCCTCTAAAGGAACTCTGGAGGAATGGGTCTGGACTTTCTCCAGAGGTTTCCTTTCACACATGAATAACGCAGCAGGAGGTTCTCCGAACAGATGCGTGTTAGAAGCATCATCAAGTTTGTGTGGACTTTATAGGGAGAGAGTTGGAGAAAGTCTGCAGGAACTCCAGAGGCTCTCACTCTGACACTTGCCCTCACACGTACAGTCCCTACAAAGAAATTTCCAGAGGATTTCTGGAGTTCAGTGGATGCCTGAAAGCAGCTTTACTGTCACAAATAGGTTGGCAGCCATTGAAAAGTCCCAGCTCTTTAAAGTGCCAGGCTTCTCTTGCAACTCTCTGGCTGACTGCACCCAACACAACTACCTACAAGACCGCACTGTGCTCATCGCTTCAAGCTGTCTTTAGTTTTAGTTTAGTTTAGGTGGCCTTCTCACAAATAGGTTGGCATGTTTGTGTTATCTTGGCTTTTATATTGAAATATCTTACAGTTATAAGGATTTCCATTAAATGTGGTGCAGAATAGATGAACACCAGGGACTGTGAAGATCTCCTTTTTTTCTCAGGTGATTCCTGTAGATCGAACTGGGTTTTTCCACTATAAGGACATTACTCCTAGTGGCTCTTGCAACTACACTGCATTTCTACAACTTCTTCAAAATAAATGCATCCCACTGGTTTGCAGGTGGAAATCGTAAAATGTTTAATAACTTCACACATTCAATCTCTGATTTGGTCGAAATAATAAAAGATGCCTTGTGTCTGAAATTACAAACAAAAACACAGTATTAAAAATAACCCTCAAACCACAGAGATTTTAGACTGCAGCTATAAAAAAAATCTTAAAATCAGCTGCTGAGGTACGAGCTGGACACGAACTTGTGGGAAAAACCCTTAATCTCTTCTCTTTCCTCCTTTGACATATTTCAAGTACTGGCTGATGATTTATCTTGATGACTTTTGTTATCCTTGTGTTTTTGAGTGAAATATCCTAACATCTGGGCCTGACTGTGATGAATTGATCCCCTAACTTTTCATTGACCCCGTTCAGACCTGGTATTCACACACGTCATGAGTCACTCGATCACAAGTGAGTGCTGAGTATAGGTCTGAAGGCAAATTCATCTTCAGTGTGTACTGATATCCAATCAGTCAGACCACAACCACAGCCTCAGCTGATGTCCTCTGTTCCACCAAACAGATTTTAGGGAGCTGCATCACATAATGAAGGAAGAGGACGGTGCTGAGAGTGGAGCGCACATTCCCCTGGATGCACATTAAATCTGTTTCCTCTCTACTTTACTCAGTTGTGACACTGAACTGAAACAGGGTTTCACTGATCGAAAAATGTGCTTGTATTGGGTCTTCCTCACACTTCCTCTGAGATTCTGTAAGGTTTCACAGACAAAAATGAGGTGTTATTTGGTGGCTGGAAAGACATGCTGATGTTATGAGCAAATATATGTCAAGCAAAGAGAGACATTTTTTAAACAGCTTACAGTGCAGTGAAAAATAGAGCTGGAAAACAACAAGTAGTCCTGAATCGATTTGTCAGATAATGGCTCTAGAAACATTTATCGATATAGAGACATGCATTTTGTTTATAATTCACATGATCTGTGATGAATAATGATCAGACAGATGGCATCCACTGACTCATACATTGTTTACATCAGTGGATGTATGATGTATGATTTATGATTGCCATCCTGCGTGTGTGTGTGTGCATGCATGTGTGCAGCACCATCCTATACGCTGTGAATCAGAGAGTTCAGGCTGAGGTTGACAAGCCTGTAAAGCATTCTTTCAATCTGTGTGTTTGTGTGTGTTGGGAAAGAATGTGTTGGCATACATGCATGTTGCAAAAACTCTAACCTATTGATTTGCACAAGTTTTTGTGTGTGTGTGTAAATAAATATTGTTGTACATTTGCAGATCTGGAATGTTTGTGTGTGTGTGTATATGTGTGTGTGAATATTATTTATGATACTCACATCAGTATGATTCTTATTTTCTCTGATGGTGTCGGACCATGCATGCTGAGACAAAGTCTTCCAATCATCCTATTAACGTACAACGCAGGCTCAAAATACTCCACTAACCTTTGTGTACACGTGTGTATTCATGCGCACCACACATTCATGAACATGAGCAGACAAGGTGTGCACACACAGGATGGGGTGTATGAGGATGTGTACTCACAGCATTCATGTCAATGCCATTGGTGTAGGACCAGGCGTGTTGGAAATACTCCTCCAGCCTCTGCCTGAGCGGGTTGGGGATCTGGTGGAAACGGATGAACTCCCTGACTCTGAGCATCTGGGTGTGGTAGCGGGCCGTCCCAGAGTACAGCCGCTGGATGATGGCTGACACATTCCCAAAGATGCTGGCGTACATCAGAGCTGGAGGTCAGAGACGAGGAGGATGTAAAGGCATGAGTTAAAGTTTGGAAGTAAGTCACGGTAAACAGGTCAGAAGGGATAGAACAATATAAACATCAGTAGAGAGTTAGTGGCATTTTAAACACTAATATGCCTGACTGTCTTCATCTGATAACAAACATGTTATTAAGTTTGCAGGGTTTTTTCTGCATTGAGAATTCTGAGGCAACCGCCTTCTTCAAATTTCGTGTGGCCTCCCGAATAAATTGTAGTACAGTGGAAACAACTTATAGTGCTCACGTTTGTCCCGGGCCGAATTGATAAACAAATTGTGTAGCTTCTGTATGATAGTCCCAGAATTTTAGGAAATGGCAGACATTTCATTGAAATTAGGTTTATCAGGATCTCTTTATGAGGTGGAACAAATAAAACATCCAGTAACACTTTAAGAGCGTGGACACATATTTGAAAAAAAAATGTGAACCTAATATCCTGTTGATATTTGTTAAATGGACAAGTTTGACATGTTGACATGGATTCTGTATCATTACATGTGACAGGCTGTGTCCTTTAGACAATAGGTTTGTTCTGTAGAGGACGGTTTTTGTTGCGTCCATCCTGAGCCTCACTGTCTCGTTCTGTTGTCATGTTGGATCCTGTTAACCTCTCAACCTCTGTCAGCTCCCATCACTGTCTACATCATCCACCAAAACAGCTCTCTGTGTGTGTCACAAAGGGCACAGTTTATCTTTGACTCAGTTTGAATAAATGTTTTAATGCTCACTGTGATTTAATAGTGCACTTTCCATTTTAGGACAATTTAATATTGTACTTCGGTAATGGGAATGTTTCAGGTGTCAGGCCATTTTATGGCCAAGCAAAGGCCAAACTGTCTGGAGGAGGAGGAGGACTGCGGCCAAAAGTAAAACTAAAAACGGCATTGTTGAATAAGTGCCTCTGATTTTAGCTTGGTTCCACTGCGACTACGTTTTTCATTTTTTCAAAAGGACAAGACTAAATGATGACAAATCGCATGACAAAAACAAACCATTACAAGGGTCTTTTTAGACTGAGAACCAATTCTGAGATGCAATTTTCATGTTGTCATTCAGTGATTTGATCAATGACATCCAGGGTCATGCTACAATAATGATGAGTAATAAATCTATAGAATGAAAGTTGAGTTTTCAGCACAAGAGGGAACAGTGTCATCTTTCTGATGGATTTTATTGAATAATAATTAAGTGATATGTTTTCAGAATGAAAGAATAATATATGAAAAAAGAAAAAAAAAACCAGTATGATATAAAAGCAAACAACAGCATACTCTAATTACAGCGTGTTATGTGTGTGAAGTAATCCCTGTTGTCCTGAGTGAAGTCTGCAGAAAAGTTCAACAAGAGCTTGAAAGAGACAATTCACCAAAAATACTGATTTCACGCTGAGAGGAAGGTTTGGTTGCATCTAGCTGCAGGAGTCAGAGCAGCGTGGAGACATGCAAAAGATCAGAGCCCGGTGAGTGGATTAGTGAAGCAGCTCGCAGTTAAATAATCTCTCTCACTCGTTTTAATCCAATAGCGTGGCCGACCTGGGAGAACTGCATGACACGCCCAGGAGGAGACGGACACGGCTTTCCATCTAGATTAGTTTAGGTTACATTAACAGTGTATAATACTAAACATGCGTGGACATTTCTATAATAAGTGTGTGTGCGTCAAAGATGGTAAAGAACATTAGTGAGTGGCCTGTTTGTTGAGTAACACACAGTTGCATTAATTCTAAGCAGACTCAACTCAAATACACATGTACCTCTTGTTTGAACCTGCCTAGGTAGAATCTGCATCGGGTTAAACTGCATTTCACATCATTTATGTCTTTTTGCCACAAGAGTCTACTTCTCAGCCAAAAGTCTTATGAGAATATCAGTACTTACATCCGATGAGCATGACACAGATGGAGAAGATCTTCTCAGAGTTGGTGTTTGGGGAAACATTTCCAAATCCCACACTGGTCAGACTGCTGAAGGTGAAGTACAGAGCTGTGACGTACTTGTCTTTGATAGAAGGTCCAGTACCTGAAGTTTACAGAAGTTAAACAAGCATCAAACAGGTCCTATGCTCACCAGAATGACAGGCAAGCAACAAGGATCATTCCACAACTGTGGTCAGTCTTATTTATTAAAGGTTCAGTGTGCAGGATTTAGTGGCATCTAGTGGTAAAGATGCATATTGCAACCAATTAAATACTCTTGGGTTTCTCTGTAATATTGTAAGGTCTCAATCTCACTGTGCAAAGTGTCTTGAGGTAAGGTGGCCTTCAGGTAATGGCAGTGCAAAATGGTGGACTCCATCGAAGTGGAGATATGAAGGCATGATTCTATGATTTTGAAAACACAACAGTTCTTCAATATTCAAGTGACTACACACAAATGAAACTTGTAAATATTATATTCCATTCCTGACAATAGATCTCCAAACATTTTACACACTGAACCTTTAAATAGCTTAGACATTTTTAACCAGAATTAGAACTTGTTCGTCTGTTTGTCTGCTCAGTACCTGGGATGGAGTCATTGTAGTGTTTTCCCAGTTGGTCCCCAAGTGTGTGGAGCCAGCCAATTGAACCATTTCTCTCCACACTACCGATGGCATACCTGGGAAAGCAGCAGTTGCAACATGATTGTATGGTATATCATTCCCACATTATTGCTGTGCATATCTAATCTGACTCATTATGACATTGTACCAGATGCAGGCCAGCCAGTGAGCGATGAGGGCGAAGGTGCACATGAGGAGGAACAGGACAGCTGCGCCGTACTCCGAGTAGCGATCCAGCTTTCTGGCGACACGGACCAATCGCAGGAGGCGAGCAGTTTTCAGCAGACCAATCAGAGTGGTGGTCTGATGGGCGTGGGAGAGACAGAGAAAGGTAGAGATAAGGTATGGTGAGGCACGGCAGACAACAAAGCCCCTTGCTTCAGCGTTCCCACCTGCTGTCATCCTGTCACACATTTACACTCAGATGGTGCAGCTGCAGCCATCACTGCTGTGGAGGAGGTAAATCCTGACTCCTATTCATTACTGTGGGCTGTCACTTCCCCTTCTTTTCTTCTTGTATTCAGCCGGCCCCCTCCATGTCCATACAACAAATAAATAACAGGCCGATTACTGGCACGGAGCCCAGTCCTGCTCTGTGTGTCCTCACAGTAAATAATGGTTTTCTGCTGAGGAAAATCTCCACTTTCCTGGCTCAGCGGCTTCTTCCCGACAGCATCAATGAAGTGAACCTTGGCAAACCTTTCCCCAAGCACTATTTGATGTTGGAAATGTATCATTTTGTGTGTGGCTTAATTACTATTAATAATTTATCATGTACATGCTCCCATTATATACGCATTTCAAGCACCACTTAATCAGTCAATAGAATTACCCTTAGTTGAGTTGCTGCGTAGAGTAATTCCATCAACCTTAGACTCAGTGGTTTTCATCATTATTTTGTGGGATGTATCCTCAGAGGACCTCACAACAACCTACCATGCAACCCACTCAGCCACTCAGTCTCCTCGCTCTTCCTCCAGACACCAACCTCCTCTTCCTTAAATTCTTCCACCACCTCCATCACTTCCCAAATGTAAGAACTTTAGTAAGCTAGTAAACTAAACTGAACTACACTTTACTGTGTCATCACATGTTTCTCTCTGAAGCCAGTAAATATTTCAATTATTGATTTAAGTCTGTATAAACAGTTGTATACTGTTGTCTGTGTCTATACGTAAGCTTATATCACATTACATTTTAACAGAAAGCCTGCGATACAACTAGAGGTGTGGAGTTTCAAGGAAGTGGGCAATCTGGAGGCAGACTGGGTCTGTTACTATCATTGGGCATTATGGGAAATGAAGGCTGCAGCATTTTTTAGCATTTTCTTTCTTGATCCTTTCTCTTGTGTGGCCCTCAATTTAACTATCAAAATAGTAAATCAATGGGAATTAATTGTTATTATTTATATGCGTCTTTCAAAAAATGAAAAACACATAGAGGTCTGTAACTTAGCAATTAAATTCAAGTACGTTTTCAAGATATTTCTGAGAAAAAAGCAACTTTGAACTGATTATAGGGAGAAATAAAACAATATATTCAACAAATAGCAGACGATTTAATTCTGGTAGTTAATGTATATTTACTTGGGTTGTAAAGCCTCTGTTTCCCTATAATTACAACCAAATTACAAGGCCTGTGTTTTCAATCACACCCTATTTAATTTCAAGTGCCTTTAAAAGTTGGGCGGCTGTGGATCAGGAGGTAGAAGGAAGCAAAGCTTTTCCTTTAATGAATCGTACATGCCTGACAAATTGCACACTAACAAATTATGGACTGATAAAAGAGATGTTACTGAAACATTTTTAAATTGTTTGCTTTGTCCAATCATTAATCCAAAACTCAGACATATTTAAAACTATAATGATGTTAAATGAATGAAAGGATCCTCTTATTGGAGAAGCTGTTTGTTTTGATTCATTAATGCCTTAAAAACAAATCTATTCTTTTTTTCCTCAAACTACCACTTTTTTAATCTACTAATTGTTTCATTAGCATTTTGTACTCTGCCCTGTGTGATGTAAGGCAGACATGTTTTATTTTGATGCTCCACCACAGCTGACTGCAAACCAGCTTCCCCACGGAGACAATTAAATGATAAAACACAATTTAAACCACCTCTGCCTCTCTCTTTCTGCCTCTTAATTCCCATCCCTCCACCTCCTTGTTTCCCTTTCCTCATTGTTCATCTCAGTTTGTTACTGTCTTTTTAGTCCATTGCACAAAAACACTGTCATAGATGAAAGATATGATGTCAATAAAATGTTGTTCTCTGTATCCCTCCATCTCACTGACACCTGTCTGTGTTCTCTTTCCCTCATGTAGTGCACAAACAACCAGTACTCTCCCTCCATCTTTACGTACCTCCTCTCCGTTGCGATAGATGAGCAGGTCAAAGGGAATAGCGGCCACCATGTCGATGAGGAACCAGCCTTTGAAGTAGTGGACAGCAATACGCACTGGGTGACTCACCACTTCATCGTTAGCGTTCACATAAGTTGTCCTGAGAGGAAGAGAGCCCATAACATTACAGGGCCTGAAGGTTAATGGTTGTCATTATAACACTGTTAACACCAATGGGATTACTACATCGTACCACTTTATTTCAATAAAGATAACTGTCTTTAATAGTATTGTTTGTCTCGAGTGATTCAATCAGAAGTGGACAGCTCTAAGTTCAGGTGTTAATGCTCCCAAGATGCACTGAGGACAAACGAGATCCAATCACTCAGACCACATTCAGATGTGGTCTGGGATGCAATTGATGCAATTTTAATTTAATAAAATCATTCAGGGCAGCACAGTTGTGTAGTGATTGGCATTATCGCCTAAGAGTGCATGTTCTCCCTGTCTGTGAGCGGGTTTTCTCCGCATGTTCCGTCTTCCTCCCACAGTCTGAAGACATGCAGCTTAGGTTAATCGGAGACTCTAAAATGCATGTATGTGTGAATGACTGGTTGTCTCCATACATCAGCCCTGAGATACGCTGGCGACCTCACACCCGGATGTCAGCTGGGATTGCGTCCAGCCCCTCCATAACCCTTAAAGGATAAGTGGTCTGTATAAAATGGATGGAAGGAAAATCCTAATTCAAGCTGAGCACCGTGATTTGATTCACTGAGCATTTCCTTGACACACTGTTGTTCCGTTATGTTTGTTTCTCACAAACACATTTGCACATCTGGAAACAAAACCCATTGATGGACTGGCTATAATTACAATGCATTTGGCTGGATGTGGAGAAGGGAGATCCAATCGCATGTGGTCACTTGAGACTTATTCTCATGGTAACTGATGATATAGAGCAGTTCACTTGAGATCGGATCGCCTGATGCGCATGTACTAACGCCCTGTCCACATTAATGTGCAATTTGCAAAACAAACTTTTCCTCTGTGTTTGAGCCTCTTGTCCACATGCAAATGGTATTTTAAGTCACTTAAACAAAGTTTTTTACAAACGCCTTCCACAGTAAGAATGAAACTGAAACAAAAATGGTGGCTATATATCTGCTTCTTTACATTTGGTTACTGCTGCTAGGTTTAATTACAAATTTGCAGCAGTCACAGGCGTCACTTTCATCCAGTATTGGACAGATCACTGGTTAAGACTCTTTCACCACCTATTGGCCGGGCATGCTGGTTTGGACGTCGTGATTGTTTTTTGAGTCTTCATCTAGTCGGAGATATTTGTGTCATGTAAAGGTCGTGTGGATGGATGTGGTTTTTTAAACGGAGGGGAAATATCTTTTAAAAAATATGTCTGCAGTAGTGTAGACAAGGGATTAATGCCAGGTAGGAACAAGGCCTTAATGTCAGACCTGAAGTTGATGAGGATGTCAATGATGAACATGATATCCACCATTAGGTCCACCACATTGAGAGGAGAGCAGGAGTAACCACAACTCTGCATGGCAACCTCTTCCTGTGAGGAGAGGAGAGGAGAGGAGAGGGAGGGAGATTCAGAAAGGTTAGAGAAAATAGAGGAAGACAGGAGAAGAGAATTATAATCTAATGCTCTAAAAATAGAACAGTTCTGTGACACTACTTCTCTCAAGTAGATTAGCATTAAGGGTTTAAAGATAATTTGCATACGTACAATAAGTAGATAAAATATGAAAAAAACAGGACATTCAGTTCTAGAAACATTGTCCTGAGAGATACTCTTGAAAGCACCATGAAAATCCTCTGTGCAAACTACTGCCCTGTTTCTAAGCAGGAACCTCTGTTTATTTGCTGTGGTAGCAAAATGTTGATGCTTAAAGTATTATTGATGCTGTACAGCACAGTTTGTACTTTACAATATAATGTATAATAATAAAATAGCAGTTATACATGCAGGTAAACTGGTGATTGACCCTTTCCCATTGCAAGTTGAGGAGTTTACCTTTTCCCTGGTGAGCATTGTTCAATGTCATGAACACGCTGAAAACTGAGGCACCGTCGCACCTCACTGTCTTGCCAAATTATGGTGCAATGGTTCCATTAGTGCTTATAAGAGACAGAGCCAATTAAAACCTGTGTGGAGTCATTTCACCTGGGAGTGAATTCTGATTGTGTCTAATCACACTGCAGATCAGTGGAAAGGGGCAATGCTGTAGGATTTGCTGACCAGATTTATGTTACTACACGTTGACATTAATTGAAGTATATCTACAAATGTAGATTTTGGACATTTTGTGACTTGTGATGATGAAACTTGCAAATTTGATGAAAGTGCATGGGCAGAAAAAACATTACACAACACTATACAGAAATTTCAGTGGACACACAGTATATGTATATATATTTTAGTGAGTAAGTTACACTGCAGTTTAGCTGGGAGGCAAAGAGAGAAAAAATGAGCAGAACGTTGTGTTATTAATGCTTTCTTGACCACAGGCTGATAAATGATTCTGTCCCTATATGAGACCCCACCTGGTCATTGAGGAGGAATGCGGCTGAGTATGGGGTCAGGATGGCGGTGTAGATGACCAGCAGCAGGATGAGCCAGTCCCACACGGCCTTGAAGGGGCTGTAGTGCAACACTGTCCACTTGTGGATGCGAGGGGCTTGGAGCTTGTACTCCGGCAACACGTCTGCACCGAGTGACAGTACCTGGGTAAAGAGAGGGGGGGACAGAGGGACGATAAGACAGTGGATACAATGAGACAGAAAAGGAGTGAAGGCAATAAATGGAGCAAAGGAAGAGAAGGAGGACGGTATTACCATAAGATAATATATATAGCAGTAGTATTATGGAAAATGAGTTGACAATCAGGCTAACCACTTCCATGACGTGTGTTTTTCCTTCACAGTAGCCAGTGATGAGAACTGTTCTGAAGGCAGTGACTCAGTGACTCTCCTAAGGTTACACTCCCAGGCAGCATATCACACACACACACACACACACATACACATAAACACACACACATACACATTCTAGATATGCAAATGTACAATAATATTTAGAGGAATACTCATAAACTCATATATATACTCATATATCATATATAGTAGTAGGCTAACACAAAGACTCACATCCTCTGTGTCGCCATAGTACTGAATCTTACACAAGAGCTTTGAATTCTTAGTGACAAAGTGCATATAGGCATATTCCAATCACACGTAAACAAACACACTGAGATCCTTCTCCTCCATCTTCACATTAAAACACAAACACACACTCGGAATAAAATCTCGGGTATTATGGTGCAGTTCTAAGTAGCTTTACTTGCAGTAATGTATTCCACAGTCGGCACCGCTCTCGCCCTGGGTGAGAGCAGGAATGAATCTGTATAAAGAGATCTGAGGAGAGCCTGCCTTGTGTCTCTGTCTTATAGAATCACACAGAGAACTGCAGAGAATCTGAGCAGGTGACAAAGTCAAAGTGACTTTTGACTGACTTTCAGCACTGTCACACAACAGCCTGCTGTGAGTATGCATGTACCACCAAAGTACACTGACTGGAGGACTGAGTTATAACTACAGTGGCTTAAAAATACTTCTACTGCCATGTAAGTTAGATGACCTTACAATATAATGCAATCCATTACATTACCAACTATGGCCTGACATGGTCTTTAAAATAATAACGTTGTACCGTAAGTCAGAAACCTTTGAAAGACTTTACACGTTTCTTGCTATTTCCACTCTCCAAAATTAGATTCAAAAGGAAATAGTTACTGTGAGGCAGAACTGCTGACAGCAAATTTAGATTCAAAGGTGTCAAAATCCACTTTAAAGGTATTACAGCCCTTTTTAGGTATGAGCCTCCAGCTTAAGGGACAGAAAAGGAGTGGAACATCAGAATACATATTAAACTAAAGTGGTGATTTGTCATATTTGAGTCCGTCAAAAATGTAAGTCAGAGACTATTTATGCAAATGTCAGTTCATGTTTATTCACACTTTGTACAAGGTGATCCATGTAACTTGTTCCAGCTTGAAATGATTCTGCATAAGCATGGCACGGTTTAAACATTCTGCCAGTGATTAGTTCACAGGTAGAGTTGACAGAGTGGCAGCGAGAGGTACAGCAGACTGAGTGACACAAACTGCACAGAGCCCATGGAGTGTGTGCACAGTGTGTGTGCAGAGTTTAACAATCAAGTGAAAAGAAGGATCATAATATGAGTAGAGTATATAAGTATATAATGCAGATAATTCAGATATGAAGTAATACATCCTGTATTCCATGATTACATGTTATTCTTCCTTCATCTCCTCTCATTTTTGCATGTTCCTATTTCTCCCCACTCCTGCTCATTGACTTTCTTAATCTTTCTTCATCACTGATTTAATGTCCCTCTCCCATCCCCATCTCTTCTCCTGCACACCCAGCAGCAGCTCAGCCACATCATTCATCCTGCCTCCACATCCTTTCTGCTCCTGCTTGAATGGCCAGTTTTTCTTTCCCCTAACCTCCCTCATTCATTTTCCATCTTCCTCTCTTAAATCTCACTTGCCCTTTTCTTTCTTTCACACTTTTATTCTTCTTTCATTCCTTCACATTTTCTCTCTCTCCTTATGGTCCACAACTATATCTTCTTCAGCTCCTCCGGCCCCATGGCAAATTTATTTATGTGCTTATGATTACACCATCCCTAGATCTTCTGGTATAAGAGGATCTGATATCTCTCATTATCTTGGAATTTCCTCAGGAGCTGTTATTATAGAGCAACATTTTGTGAGATAACATTTTGGTTAGGGTAGGGAAATTTTTTTCATATTTAAAGCAGCTCTTTGAATCTGGGCTCATTCAAAAACATAATTTCATGTATTTATATTTATTTCTTTAAGGGTTAGTAAGTCCCTGCTTCTTTAAATTCTACATACATGTTTGTGGTAATTATATAAATATGAAATACTGACAAATAAGCCACAAATAAGCCATTACTAATTATATAGATCATAATTATCAAACTTTAATTACCAGTTGTTTTGAGTACGATCTGAGCTCTCTGTCAAAAAGAAAGGTAGCTTGGTTTGAGTATGTTACAAATGAATTAGTAAGCATTGCAAATGAACACAGTGCATAAGATACCTACATATAAAACACATTGAAAACAGGCAAAGCCACAAAGCACCGTGGTTTATCTAAATATCCAAAGAGAAGAGTTATAATTCAGGTTCTCTAAATAAGTGAACTTTCACTTCATGGTAGTGTCTGACCTGAATTTGCCACAATACACCTGACGCACTTACTTCTTATCAGAACATGTTGTCTTGAAGATAATGCTGAGCTTTCCAAACTGATGTCTAGACACAAACAAAGTAAAACAGAAGCTAGCATTTCTTATCTACTGAATCCCTTGACCTGACAGTATTGCAACATAACACATCCAGGGCAGGAAAAGTTGTGTGTGTGTGGTGTGTTACTGAGAATAAGGGTTTGTGTGTTAACTTTTCACATCCAGGATGAGCCTTTCATCCACCTGCATCCACCTGCTCCTTCCTCTGACTCTTTCCTTTGCTTGCACATACAACTGACAACTTCTTTAACAACCTCAAATTTAGTCTCTTTATAATTTACCAAACACAACCTTAAACTACAGATTAGTTGCTGTGTAGCTCATCACAATTTCTTCTGGACTTCCATGCAGGTTAGACAGGGCATAAGCACACATGGGGTTTCTCTCAGGATGTGATAAAGATGTGACCAGACCAGACTGAAATAAGTTTTATGCATCGTCAGGATTATTCGAAAGTGTGACGCATCTGTGCGAAAAATCTGGATCGAGTGAATTTAAATATGGTTTCAATAAGGAGCCGTTGGGCCTTGGTGGAGGTATGCACTCTATTGAGCCATTGAATTTTCATACTGTATTAACGGACTCACTTTAATTTCCTGGGTAGATTAACGATTTCCATGGTTTGGTTTTACTGATTGACTGAACTTGTGTCGTGCTTGGTTCATGGTGTCAAAACCCTCTTTTATGTGCTTTGTTGTTTTCTGCTTAAGCAGACACACACACACACACACACACACACAAACACACACACATATACAAGTGCCCCTCTCAGCTGTGCGTCCCCTGCTAGAGTATCTTGCGGGCTATTCTTAGCCATCTGTGTGAAATACAAAACACTGCCCCAAGGACAGTTAAAAGTGCAGATGTCAAGATATATTCAAGTGCAGATCGGGCAGAGTTGTATCAGAGGACAGCCCTGGAGGAAGAGGACGTTGGGTAACCGAGGGGGCACTTCACAGAACTGCCTCTGTTATCAAGACGGTATTCTCACATCAGCGACAACACGCTGCTTCTCCCTGTCGTCAGTGTCCAGTGTGGAATCCCTCAGTCCAGCACAAAGCTGCATCATCAGCAAATTCTGCACATTATCTATGCTGGAGTTTGACACAGGGACTTGCTTGGACTGTATCTGACACACTGGGTTTGAAATGAACAGCTTGGCATTCAATCATTGTTAAAAAAGAAAGAAAATCGATCAAAATCTCAGACTGCTGCCATGTCAGTTCTACTTTATATGACACTGTATGGTTTAGAGTGGCAGGAGAGCAGATACAAGGACAAAAAGAGATGACTTATGACAAGAGAAGTATCAAATTTAAACCAAAAGTCCTTTTCTTTCTGCAATGTCACTTTAACAAGATGAAAAGATGTCGATGAAAAATGTCGGCTCAAATTATTTTTTTTGATTTGATGAGAAAGCAGAAGTAATGACACAGACAAGAGGACGCATTGTGTTTCAAAGGGAAGCTCATTATGCGACAATGCATGGGCACCTAAGATTTTCATAAATAAACAAAAGTTGAAATGTCTGGAGATTGAATACTAATTGATCGAAGGACAAAGATGTAGAGATAGAATCAAGAATGTTAATATATATGCAGTGAAGGAAGTAGATTTGAACAATGATCGAGTGTTTAAAACGTATTTTAAACATCTACTCAAGTTGTCCCGATAAAACTGATTGATGTTTAAACTGCAACTTCAGCCCTAAGTGTTTCTCTAAAACATGTCGGAGCGCTGTGGTCCCGAGCCCTTCCAACTACTGGCACTGGCAGAGGGGCAGAAGATGATCAGGGACGTCTCTGAATGGTTGACGAGGAGGTGGAATTTACACCGCTGATGCAGATTTCCAGATTCCCACACCTTTGATTAGAGGGTGTTAACCTTTTCAAATATAACCTACATAAATGTCAGGTCAGGATTGAATCTACATGAGCATTGGCCCTGCAAGGTCCACTGCGTGGTGTTCGGAGTCACGTTCAACCCAATAATGTGGATTTTTTTTAACCTAAATTTGGTAATAAATGTGAAATTAATACCAGCGTTCATGTACTTCATTAAAAACTTCATATAATTCAGTTAGCAGCTCAAAAACACATGTGCAGTATCACTTTAAGAGAAAAGTATACAGCAATTACAAAGCAGCATGAAGATGGACAAGGTTATAGAAAGGTCTGAAGTCTGAAGGTGATGACTCATCCTTTTAAAGGCGACAAAGTTCACACAAACACATGCATGCACACACACACACACACACACA